GACGGTAGTTGTTTAATTATCTGTCTTGAAAGTGGTACTAGATCTGTAAAAATGTTGTCAATACATGTGGACGAAGTAGCAGTTACTCTAGTAGGCTCCTTAAACATGTGCGCAAGATTATAGGACATAAATAGATTTACAAGTCTTGTACATGAATTGGAGTTTCCTAATAAATCAACGTTAAAATCACCCCCAATCACTAATCGTTTGCCTTTGCTATATACCTTTTTTAATGCTTCATCCATAACAGTTTCAAAGAGATCATAATGAGAAACTAAACTTGAAGGAGGTCTATATACGCTCAGTACAATCAGCTGGTCCAGCTCTATACAGGCAATCTCTATTATTTCCTCAACCGATAGGCTCACTATATCTCTACGTTCTTTAAATTTAAACTTTTTATTTAATAAAATTAGTGCGCCACCACGCATTGCGTTTTTCCTAATGAACGCGCTACCAACCAGGTGATTATTGAAGTTAAAAATGCAATTATAACTTGTTAACCAATGTTCCGTAATACAGAAAAAATCAACATTGTTACAGTTCATGAATAATTCCACTTCCAACTCTTTGCTCAACATTCCTTGAACATTTTGGTGCACTAGGTTGATGACTGAAAAACTCTTGGTTCCATTATTACTTTGACTATTCAATAGCAAGCAAGAGGAATCCTCTGTTGTCTTAGTATCTAATTTAAAGACGAATTTGTCGCAATGTCAGTAGGATTATTACTGACAGTCATGTCAATAGAAGAGTGCTCAATAGGAGCACTCTGGTTAGCCAAATTTTTGGCTGTTATAGAAAAAAAATATGATAGCGAAATAGCTATTTGTCTCTTATAATAATTGGAAAGATAATATTTATCTTTAGTCAAATAAAATTTTCTAACATACTTGTTAGTGTCAATGACATGAAACTTTGCAGTATTGCATATAGTGTGCAATGTCATATTCAATTTGTATCGCAAATTATTTTCTTCATTGGACAAACTATTGCAATACGGCAACGTAAAAATCACGACTTTCCCAACACTTAATGTATTTAATTCGTTTATATATTTCAATAATTTATGTCTGTTCAAAGTACCTCTATTGCCAATAAAAAACAATAAAGTGGTATTTTCGCTGTAGTTTTGTTTAATTGCTTTTTCCAAAATATCACTAAAAGAGGAATTAGGCATACAGAAGTTTAATGTTGAATGGCCCTTATCGAATAGCAAACGGCCCATGTTTCTGCCAATTTCATCACTGAACATTAAAATATTATTTTTATAATTTTGTGAATTTATTCTGTGACGTTGGGAAAATTGTGATGGGGAGCAGTCATCAGTAACAGATGACTGAACAGGTACCTGAGTAAACAGTTGTGACTGGTGGGCAGATGACTGACAGGGTTTCTGTGTAACTGTATTTATAAATTGTTTCTGAATATTATTATTGTTATTGTTACTAAAGCTGTTATTTGTTTTGTTAATTAATTGTTTATTATTTAACAGTCAATGGTAACGGTCAGCATTGTAATTGCATAGGTTAACCAACTCTGTGGCAGACCTAATATGCTCATCAATCTGAGACTGTGCAACTAAATATTTATTTTGTATTAATTCTATTGATTCATGTAATTTTTTTATTTCAAATTGAAATTTTTTTGTATCCCGGTCATACATCTGCCGACTTTCACATAATTTATCACTATATATTTCCAAAGAATCCATCAGACTACTGCGTTGTTTCCTCAAGGCAATATTTTTATAAAAACAATTATTCTTCTTTATCAATCTCTCAGTTTTCTGGATTACTTTTCCAATTTTAATATATTTCTTAAGTTTCCTAGTACTTAAATTAAAATTGATCTGACTCTTAGAGTGTGTATCACAGGCTGTTAGTTGATGCCTCATCGACTGACCTCCAGGTGATGCTACCAGTTCTTCGAAAAGACTTTGGGTGTATTCTGCTTCATGTTCTTTTTGTTGTTTGAGCAGTAGTTCTATTTTATTATTGGCCAAGTTGAGCTCCTGTTCCAGTTCTGTGATGCGGTTGAGCACCCTCTCATGAGTATTTAATTCTTCTTTGAGAGTACTGAGCGCATCCTTAAAATGGTCCCTTTGATGCATTACTTCTATATGCTCAGTATGCAGTTCACCAAGCTCACTCTTCAGTTGTGAGTTCCGACCAATAATACGTTTGATTTCTTCTTCACTTTCATCTCGTTCCTGTAGTAACTGGTTACATGTGTCCTTTGAATCCTTTAGCTCCTGTAGTGCTTGCCTTAACTGCATTTCTGTATTTTGTGCAGCAGCCTTACGGGTCAACATATTGAATAAAATTTCCTAAAAAAATAGAAACAAAGCAGAGTTAATGCAAGAATTGGAAAGTTAATAAGTTTCAAAATATCCTATTTTATCCTATTTAAGCACCTAAATAATCAGTAAAGATGAAATATTGATTTTAAATATAATAATATTCAATAGGTGGGTAGAAGAATAATAAAATATCCTAATTATTTTTGTTCAATAAGAGTTTATAAGAAAAGGTATCACTTTATAACCAATCACCAATTATAATGATAATAATAACTAATCAATAATCTTAAATAATTTATTATAATGTGCACCCCCTCCCATACAATTACTTTTTCATTTTTAATTTAAGCTACATTTATTTCTACAATATTAACATCTACAGCAGTGTCTTGTCCATACACTAGAGTCAAAGAGATGTAACATAATATAATCTTAGTTCTTTTATTAATCTGAATCATACACAATAAGTGATTTCTTTATCAATTATTTTTTATTAAAAGTTAATGCAATAATATACCTAATGGACATTAAGCTTTATATATGAAACAATTAATGCAGAAAATAAGTTTCTCAGCTGTGTTAATGTTATTGTTTATTTGTACAAGAGTAATGTTTGTAAAGAGTAGCAATAATGAATGTCTGTGGCAACTCGGTCACCATCAACTTTACTTCCACTTTATGTCAAGTAAAGAGAGGTTAACAGTACCAAATTGTTATGTTTTGTGACGTTACTCACTATTCGTGAGTTTTGATAAGAGTAATGATTTGAAAATTAAGGTATCGAGAAACCAAAATGCCACACATAAAACTCATACAAGGAAATATAATGAAGTATCAGCAGTATATTTTTTTACTAAATTATGGAACAAAAGTACTTCCCCGGTTTGTGATGCAGCAGTCCACAATTATATCTTTTCTTGATAGATTTTTGTTTGTTTTTCGTCTTTATCTTCTCCGACAGATAGACGTTACATATTTGTCTGGCACGATTATTTGAATGTAAGCGATTATATTTACATGGTAAGATCAATTATCAACACTTAAGGCTTTGTTTTCACTTTCACAAAACTAATATTAATAAATATCGCAATATATTTAATTTAAATTATTAAATATATTTAATTTAAATTAAACTGATTTTTCTAAAGAAATATTAAATTTTCAATAACAATTAAAGGGTATTTTGATTATAATGTTTTTATTAGTATACACCTTGGTTCTGATCTATTGATCATTAGATTAATTTTGAATATTTTTTTAAATATCTCTTTTTTACTAAAAAAATAATTACCAGTCATGTTATGTCATTTCCAGAAACCAAAAAGTCATTACCATCCTATTATCATCATTTCCATCACAACCATAAATTAACAAATATAAATATCTATTATAAAAAACATGTTACAGGTGGTCTTTTACGTATAATTCTTATTTTCGTTTCTATAATTCATTATTCTTAGAGGAAAAATCATTTTAAAGTGTTTAAAAAAAAAATTAAAAAAATATGGTTGAATAAAGTTTAGTTTATTTACTCATTTACATAAATCATGTCATTACCAAAATAGTATGTATTATCATAATATTAAATACAACTTTCAAAGTCTGTAGGACATAGGTTGGTAAATATAATTAGTCGTTATAGAACAAAGCAAAGACTATTAATTCCATGCATTGCGGTCCTTTAACGTAATATCAGCTGGTATTTAAGTAAATAGGTAGCAAATTAGCCATCAGTCTTAAGAGTAACCTTAATTAACCTTATTTAACTTATGTCTAATGCTATAATGAATGGAGTATAAATTTATATAAAAACAGAGTGGAAAGTGTAAGTTTTACGCTAACGCGTTCACTAGTGAGCGCGTTAAGAATTTGTATGGAGATTTGTAGTTCTTGGTAGTTACCGCTAGGGGCGCTGTACCGGATTCCATACTAAAATCTTAACGCACTCACGATCGACAGTGAACGTAAACGTCAAAAAAACTTACACTAAGCGCTCAGGTAGAAAAAAAAGGTTAGATGGACTTATCGAACTGTAATCATCATCACCGTCACTGCTACAGTCTACACTGAAAGTTCTCACGTTAGTGTTCTTCATAAATTTATTTAAATTTCGCGAAATTAAACAAACTTTTCTTGTTATGAAGTAAAACGTTAAGAATTATCAAAACGGTTTTACAAATAATCCGGTATAGAATTTTGTTGTCAATTTGGGCAGGTAGCCGTTTTTAAACAAAATACGGAGTAACATGACAACACCATTAATTAATTGATAATTTAACCATATAAGTAAGATAATATTTTCAACAGTCCAATCACGGAAAGAGGTTCGATTAAAACAGTCAACGTAATAAAGGAAATGGCATCTCAAACACCTTCATTTATCCTTAACACAACAGTTCAAGCTTACTGCATCCAATTAGTAAGGACGTGGTTGATGAGACGTTCCTGCTCCTGCTTATTCAATGACGTAAATAAAACAAAATATGCATATATGCTTTAAGTAAGTTAACTAAACAATATAAGATGGTTCGCAATCCAGGCAGAATTCAATACTCCGTGGTCCACCTGTTGCTGACCAGTTTTAATAGTATCGATATTTTTTTAAACCGATTACTTTTGACCAGTGCATCTCTAAAGTTTATGTCCCTGATACGACCTTGATGGATATTTGCCGATTCGTTCTAAAGGGAATACCTACGTTTACGCAAGTCAAGTCAAGTTTTGTGGAATGGTTGCGGAACGTATACTTTATTGATGTTTTAATTATTTGTTTAAATTATTTATAGTTCTTCTCTTCGATTTTAACGGTTTGTATTGTTTATTCCTTGTTTCATGGTGTGCTAAAGAGGTGTCGGTTATTAACTGAAAAATACAATTTTTTAGATAATCCTATACAATTCGGTAGATAGCCCACATGTCGTATTAGAAAACTTTGACGTTTTTAATATTCAGTTCAGTCAATAGAAACGTTAATTTTTCTGGTGGCTCATGACGGATATGTATCTGTTTTGTGAAAATTAAGAAGAAGAAAATCTATTATTATCTACTATAAAATACAAAACACATGCCCTACATAAATTCAGTATAGAATATTTATACAAATATCACGACCTCTATTTTCCGAATCTTAGAGGAACTCATATTAGTCCTACAAAAGTTAGTGGTATTGTATTCAAAATTATATTTAGTTTACATATTAAAATCAGCAGTGTAGCAGTATGCTGTTTATTTTGTTTCTCAATAAAGATATTTAGTATTGAAACTAAATAATTTTTTTTGTTACAGATTTCTTTTTGTGTAATTTTGAGAAATGGAAGTAAGTTCTTTTTTTAATTATTTCTTTGTGATATCTATGTTAAAATTATTTGCGTATTCACAATTACAATTACTGTTCTAATTTTTAGATTGAAGTGTTGAGTGTTTCACGTTCTAAGCCCCTTGGAAAAATACATCTTAAAGAGGATGCTACTATCAAAGATGTTAAAGATAAAATCCATCAAAATCTCAATAAGTCTTTATATCCTGACCGTCAAGCTATTAAATTAGAAGCTAAAGGAAAGACATTAAAAGATGAAGATTCACTAAAAACACATAACATACAAAATGGAGCTAAGTTATACTTAAAAGATTTAGGGCCTCAAATCTCCTGGAAAAATGTGTTTTTAGCTGAGTATGCTGGTCCCTTGGTTGTTTATCTTTGGGTTTATCAACGCCCATGGGTCATATATGGCTCTCAATCAGGTATACCAGGAAATGTTGCTATGTAAGTAAAATTTGTTATAGATTGGGATTATAGCCATAAAAATCACTAGTGAATATGTATGAAAAGAGTAATGAAAGTGGAAAGTAGGTAATATGATTAAACTTCATTTTACAGGATTGCTGCTATATGTTGGTGTGCTCATTATGCTAAAAGACTTCTAGAAACATTGTTTGTGCATCGTTTTTCTCATGGCACAATGCCACTGAGCAACTTATTTCGTAATTGTGCTTATTATTGGTTGTTTACATTATATGTAGCATATCATATTAACCATCCACTTTATACACCACCAAATGGCACTTGGTTTTATGTGGGTCTCGCAGGCTTCACAGTAAGTATAATGTTATGATGTTCATTTTACAAGTAACATACTTAAAGTTGTGGAGTTTGAAGTATAAGGAAAAATATATAGATAGATAGATAATATATAGATAGATAATAGGGATGATGACTAATTTTTGTTTGTTTGTCCGTCAGGTAGTGTTAAAAAATATTAAACACATATTTTTTTATTTTTTCGTTAGGGTACGTTTTCTACTCAACTGTGACGTAGCGAGCCCCCACTCCTCAACTTTAATGCCTGTTATCTAAGCTGTTTCTTGTTAAATTGAAGTAAAAAAAATACGTATCTAATATTTTTCTATTATCTGACTGACGGACTAAATAGAATTGCATTTTTTTTACCCAGCCATCATCCCTATTTGTTATAAACAAAATTATGCTTTTAAATAAATTGTTACTTATTTATGAAAACCAAATCAATCAACTATCCTATTTGACTTGTTATATGACAACTATATATTGTCTGATAGTTTGTCAAAGTGTCAAAATGTCAAAGTCGAGAGCTACGCCACCGGTTCGTAAATCTATGGAGGGAGACCTTATACCAAATAACTAGCAAGAAACTCAGGGACCAGTAAAAATATCTCTGTCTATTCTGCAAGGGATCTGTGGCTCTGCTGTATAACTGCAGCCCAGATTAATCTATCAGAAATGAAGGCCAGAATAACTTTTTAGTACTTCCAGGGCTTCGTTTTGACATATCTATCCGGGTTTCAGTTATGCTGTCAAGCTGCTAATGTCAAGATAAATTATGCCAACCTCTGTAGCCGAGAGACTCACATGCTTGTTTCAAGGCGTAGCCATCTCTGAGGTTATCCTGGGTCCAATTTCCGTTCGGGTCAATGTAGAACATGAACTTTTCTAAATTGTCTCACGTCTGGGTGTTGTGGTTCCTTAGTTGTCTTAGATTCTCCATATTATGGATTTTAGCTACTCATCTTATAATCTGAGCAATGTATGTGATCTTGTCTAATATTTATTTATTTATTTTATGGTGATTTTATTAAGAACATTTAATAATAATCATATTGGCTTTGAAATTTCAATGTTTTCTAAGATTCAATTGTTATTTTTCTGACGTCTTGTTAAACGTTGACACCACTTAGTAATTTGCAATTAAAATTGTTTACAGTTTTGTGAGTTGGGAAATTTGAGTATTCATATACTGTTGAAAAACCTCCGACCTCCTGGCACTAAAGTGAGACGCGTGCCTGTACCAGATGGGAACCCATTCTCGTTGCTTTTCAATTTTGTTTCCTGCCCTAATTACACATATGAGTTTGGCTCGTGGCTATTTTTCACTATCATGACTAAATGTGCTCCAGGTATGACAAACTTTTATTTATATTTTTGTAATGAATTTAAATATATAAGACTTTGAACTTTAAATAAGCTATTATATTTGATAAATTTTGCATTCACAATGCTATACTGAAAAATATTCTTCATTAAAAATGCTTGGGCATTTGTGAGTGCCAGTAGCAAGTGGATTTTTCAGTATAACATTGCAAATTCAAAATGATGAAATTTAATAAATTAGAACAAAATTTCATCTTTATCAAAAGTTTTAATATTTGCTCGATTAAATATTTGCGAAATAGCTCGGTGGCGTAGAGGATAACCGCCGCGGCCTGCAGTCGTTGTTGTTAAGCAACTTTCGCAAGGGTCGGTCACGGGATGGGTGTCCAAAAAAATATTATCTCGAGCTACTTCGGCTTAACGTGCCTTCCGAGGCACGTTAAGCCGTTGTTCCCGGGTGCATTTGCAGTCGTTAATACCCTCCAATCCGCATTGGGCCTGCGTGGAGAGTCAAGGCCCATCCTCCTTAATCATCCATAAGGAAGGCCTGAGCCCCTGCAGTGGGGACGTAAAAGGGCTGATGATGAAATATTTGTAAAAATATTTCTTTCGGATGTTTGAGTAGGTTGCCTAAACATCGATGAAAATACTCTCTGTAGTAATAAAAAGTAACAAGCGCTTGAAAAATTCGTCAGTCCTGTAAGTGGTGTGGGTAGCGCAGTGGTTAGAGAAATTGAATAACTGGATTTTTTAAGCGTTTTTCATTAAGAATATTTTAAAAAGTTGTTGAATCCGACAACTGACAATCCGAATTATATAATCCGAACAAAGTCCATGTTAATTTACATTATACATAATTCACTAGTATTGTACGTTGATTTTGTAACATAGGTAATGTTTCAACCATGCTATTGTTCCATGTGTGTCACTCGCGTGTACTAGTTGTTAGTAACGTCATCACAAATCCATAAATTTTATCACAAAACCTAAGAACTAAATTTAAATTTTAGACCAGTTCAGACCATTTCAAATAATGACTTCAGGTAGTCAATAATAAAATGATAATTTTGAAGTAACGTCAAAAGATGTTGATCTAAAAAGTCATATTCACCAAATAATATTTATATTTTCTGAACCAACACTTACTTAATATTCAAACTACTCAACTCAAAATAGTATGAGTGTATTATGTGTTCAAATAAAAATAATGTTGCCATGAACTTTGATCATTGTTTAAAATTAACATAATTATTTGAGCTTAACATATTTATTAATGATTGTATAAGTACATATTAATAGGTATGTTTATCTTTACGTTGTAACTTACAACTGCAGGCATAAAATATTATAATAGTTTTAACCATCTTTTAACCAACACACATTTGATCTTTGAACCTTGAAGTATGCTTACTGTCTTCAATATTATATTTTCTGTCCACGACGACTATAAATGGCCAATAACTTTGTTCTCGTCCATTTCCTACTTTTAACTAAACTTTAAACCGGTCTGTCAATACGTATGTTAAATTTACAATGTTATTTTTGTATCTGATATGAAAAACATTTAATTCGAGAGTAGTCTTTCTCGATCACAACGTATGACCGTGAAATAGTTACAAGTAATAAACATCAATTGCTACAGTATAAAATTTTATGATTTGTGCAACAAAATGTTTCGCAAAATAAAACAAAAGACTGTTTCTATATTATGTTCAATGAGTTATTCAATAAGGGTTTAACATTGTATTTTAATGCCTTGCTAAGACGCTGTTTACCTTATTAATATTCAATTTGTTGTATTTTACACTCAACTCTGAGTTATGTTGGAAAAACAAAATTAAATCGAAGTGTAAATAAACGAGACTTATAAGTTTTTTTATTAAGAGTATTAATCTCTCAGCATTTAGGTATTGTAAAATGCTCAGCACGTAAGTTGAACCAAAATGGCTATATCTCGCGCACCGGGTAGAAAATGGACTATTCTACATTGTCTCGGGTCTGGGTATACGTACGAAGATACCTTGGATTACTTTGGAATCTGAGCAATTTATGTGGTGTTGTCTTATATTTATTTATTTCATTTATCCTTACACACTTGAAGTCAGTCTGAGAAAATAGCGAGCGAAATTAACTATAAAGAAATTTAATTTACGTATTGCAAACGAATGACTGGTGATATTAGAATTCGAATAATAAAGTTCGTATTAGTGTGCGAAGATTTATATGTTTCCTAAAATTCCTTTCTTTCTCATTCAGAGCTTTCCAATCGGATTGATATTCGTTTACATTAGAAAATAATTTCATCACATTAGCAAAATGTTTTCATTTAATATCTGTTGTTTGGGATAGACAAATGTAAAATGAAAAACCAGAAACGTTCTAGTAGTAAAACTATCTATTTTTATCTTTCCAGCGGGCTTATTCGCGGCAGCCGGATTCTACCAAATGGCGGTATGGGCCATCGGCAAACACCGTAACTACAAAAAAGAATTTCCAGAGTATCCCAAAGGCCGTAAAGCCATACTGCCATTTATTTTATAAATTCCATCGAATATAGTCTCTAACATTTCTTAGTAATGCAATGTACTGACATGATTTTCATATAGTAGCTTATTTTATTTGATAGGTGTTGGATAACGCTCCATTTTAAGGGTAATGGGTATGTTGTGGAATGAGTACGATTGTATATTTATTGCAATATGTTTTAAACAAAGAAATATTTTTATTTAAATTAGTTTCGAAGAGTTGAAAATAAATTAATTAGTTAGGTATTTGTGAATTAATGAATAGTACTCATGGAATTTGATTGTTAATTTCTATTTTGTAAATTAATATCGTTATTTTATTTTGGAAGATGTCAACTTAATTTGTTGTTAAGTATTCCATTGAATTATGTTATTGTTTGTTTTGTACTCAATAATCATGCATTTAAAGTATGCGCTAATAAAAAGGTTTTTTATATTGTGGCTTCATTATTAAGTTGCCCTAAGGGTTACATCAATAGGCGTGCACTTTGAAAGTACCCGGCGCACCCGTGAAAAGTGACATTTGGGTGTAGACAAAATGTTCTCGAGCTCGTCATGCTAAGCGTACTGGAAAGTCAGCGAAAAATTGGAATTTAACATTTTTCCCACCCTGAGATTTACCAGTGTGTAATATTTATTCCTGAGTTGTGCTAAGCGGGGAATTGAATACTATATGTCTGTTTGTGTAATATTTGATAGTGTAGGATCAAGTCCCGGCGAGTATCTCTGCAGACTTGCCCGTAGGTAGCCCTGCTAGTGAATCTCCCGCTTACGTGTTAGTTTATGCATTCACTAGAATTTTGCAGTGCTGTGCCAGTTTCAATAATAAAATCTCTACCCACTTACGAAGTCACAGAACTTGAAAGTTACAATAGTCCTCTGATCTAGCCCTTAATATAGACTATTAAAGAATTTGAAGAATTGTAACTAAGTTCTGCATTATTCAAAAATAAATATTATTTATTCTGTAACACTAATAATAAAGATGAAGAATTAATTTGTTTGATTGCACCCTAAAATCTCAGGAACTACTGGAACGAATTGAATTATTGTTTTCGTGTTGAATAGTATATAACATCACGCTATGACATATATGGAAAATGTTACAAAAGCGCGAAAAAATAAAATGTCTAATTTGGCTGCCTCTACTGAACACTAAATGACACTACTATACTTTTAAAACGGGATTTTGATTTTCGTTATGTTTGTTGTAATTATTTTTTTCCGATTTTTATCAAAAAAGTAGCTTTCGTTTCTAATTTTTATAACAAATTTAATGGGGAATTGTAAATCTGGCGACAATAATAAAATGCTTCAATTAGCTGTTTTCGCTAGATGACGCTACTGTGTTTTTAAAACGAGTTTTTTTTTGTTTGACTTTGGTCTGTATGCAACAAAAAAGCTATTTATAAATTTAACACAAGATTTGCTAATAAATAACATTTGTAATTTATTAGAACCGACTATTTTAAGAGAAACTCAGATTTGATGTCAATAAAGATATTTAATAATAATATACCGGACGAACTGAAATTGTTGCCACAATAATTATATAAATCACGTTTGAAAACATGGTTAGTTGATAAATGTTTTTATTCAGTAAATGAGTTTTTAAATAAAATTTATTATTTGGAGCATTTTAATGAATTGACATAATAGTTGAGTTATTGCGTCACGGTTCTTGAGATACAGCCATATGGTGGTAACAGCAAACAAATATTTGTTGTGTGGGAGACCCCTTTTATTTTATTTTATTGTTGTTGAAGCCGCTTTAACAACAGAAGTACAACATCTGTGAAAAATTCAAATTTTGGCCTGAATTCAAACAGCCTGGTGACAAACAGAAAGACCAAGTCTTAGTAATATGGTTGTCGTTTTACCCTTTGGGTACGGAATCCTAAAAAAAAAGTTGCTGCCGAAAGTCACTATTCATAAATAAATTTAAGTCATAAATAAATGAATGCCTGGAGCGTTAATAAAATGAAAAAATCAAAGGAGACAAATTTTTTAGACCCACTAGATTCCAGGAGAGTTTACTGATCGCAATTGTACCAAAAGAAAGCATAAAATGAATGTAGTAAACTAGCAAAAAACTATACTTTGTTATAACCGGTAACTCAAAATAATATTAAAATTTATGATGAACCTTTAATACGCCTGTCGTTTTAGCAATGGTATCGAAAAGGAATCTTATCGTTTGCTATTAAAAAATGTTTGTTTATACTACTATTAATTGTTGTAAAAACTCAGTGTTGCGGTTAGATAATAAAAAATAAATATTACCACTATATTGATTATAACGAAAAAATGGAGTGCGTTTTAATAGTAAACGCCAGGATTTGTAGTGAGCCTATCGTCCATAGAAAAAAAACTCCTTTTGAGGGTTCTTAATGAAATTTGAAATTTAAAATTGGAATATTTAGTGGGTAATAGTAGGAGTTCTAACATATCATCGATCACTCTAATTCTTTACTTGTCACTTTCTGTATATCGCTTATTCGACGCATAAACTCAATTTGGTAACTTGCTTTCTATATAGTTTTTTCTATTAAAAGACATCAACGCATGACTTTTAGAGTATTTTAAATAGCTAATTTAATAGTTTGACTGAAATTCTACTTATTTAAATACATAATATTTTTTGACATTTAGGAGTATATTATTTTTATTGTCATTTTGTGATTCTGTGTGAGAAGTTCAGAATACAACTCTTGCTCTCCTACTTTATTGCCTGACCGCACTTTTAAATTCGCGTGTACTCAGAAAGCTATCACCATTTCTCCAAAATTTTCTGTCTATTTATTTTTTATTACATTTGATCAATTTTGAAAACACAATGCTACACTGTAAAATTCATGAGTCCTAACAGGACAGGTCCATCTTGTAACCACCGAGCTGAATCACTGATCAGGCGACTGCCCGGATTGCGAAAAGTCCAGGGTCCATCTCGGAGTACCTGGGGCTGGTGGTTTTATGCATTTTTCATTGAGAAAATATGTTTTATTGGTATTTTAAGGTCGCTATTACAATGCGACTGTAATAGTTTGATCACATCTGAATCACAGATATATAATCCTGACTTATTGAATAGTGCAAAATAACTATTGGCATACTTCGTAGCGGTTTCACTTTTCGAAAATTGTGCTTTAGTTTTTAAGCACAGAATTGTACTTAGATTGCACTAGAATTGTAAAGAAAGATTTTTATAATTGCGCGTAGGCTGCTTAACTTTTGAGATCGAGCTACTGGCCTAAACAAATGAAATAAAAAAATATAATGTTATTTTTTATATAGTAGTGGTGGCCTCGTAATTTTGAAATATTTTTGATTAAAATATAGAAAAAAAAAATCTTAATATAAGCCAAAATCTTCGAAAATAGTTTTAAGTAGTGAAAAACTCCCGTCTACAATATTATTGAACAAAATAGTAGAATTGTACTAGTATAATATTTCATAATTTTTAAGCACAAATTTATTATGCTATAAGTATATACAAAGTAAATATAACTGCAAAATTATTATAAAATATAATGCACGAGGTGTGCGAGTTTGTTTTTGTAATAGGCCTCCTGATAGTAACTTATAATTACCCAAAAGTTCGTTTTAAAGTAACTAAGTGGCTACGCTAATAATCTATATATAAAAATGAATCGCAAAATGTGTTGGTAAGCGCATAACTCAACAACGCCTCGACCAATTTGGCCAAATCTTTTTTTAAAATGTTCGTTGAAGTTCAAGGATGGTTTTTACGGCGAGAAAAATTAGAATTATTGCTGGAAAAACCCTAAAAATAGCCCTTTTCTTTTTCCCATACAAATGATTTGTTACTAAAACGTAGTCAATTTGAGCTTTATTGCTATGGTATAAATTTCATATTAAATTACAAGCACTCACTGTTGTCTAAGCAATGTAGGTGTGTTCCTAACGTCAAAGATTTTTGACAGGACGAAGTCTGTCGGGTCAGCTAGTTAGGAATATTTATATATTTTGACTGATTATTAATAGCGCTATTAATGCAGGGTGACTGTATTTTCAAACTGTCGATTCTCGGTAACCATAGCACAAACACTTCTAGAGCAATCAAACCTATCCACACCCAGAATGATCAAATCGGTCAGTCAGTTGGTTTATTTACTAAATAAATATACGCAATTATAAATTAATTTGTAAGCTTGGTAGAATGTAAAAAACCTAAAAAAATGGGTAGGTATATTAAATTATAATGAAAATGCATTTTACTTTAAAAATCTATTTATTTTTAAGATTCAAAAGGTTTCTGTGGTTCTTCGATACAACGAATCTTCCCAAGTAGTCTATCGTTTTCTTCCTTGAGAGTGACGATGATATCTTCTTTTTCCTGTTGAAATATAATACAATTTGTTATAAATATATGAACAAATATTTTTTGTTTCTAATAACTTTATTTAGTTTGGTCAAAAGGGCTAGAATGTATAACGGATAATCTATTTGTCTATTTTTGCTACTTTAAAATTTGTAAGATTATAAGGGTTGCTACCCTCAGTTTGTAAGAAAGTCATTATATGCTTATATAAAATATAATTAAAAAATACTGTGAAGATATTACTTCACAATGTTTTTTTAACTTGATCACAGAAAAGAGAAAGTGGTCTTCGTCTTTCTACGTATATAATATTTTACATTAAGTAAAAGTCTACCCCCAAAATTACAGACACGTTGTCAGCAGACAAATTACAGACTATCTAAAATTTTATGGTTGACAAGCGTACTAATCTTAAACGTTAGTTTATGGACACAGTATACCTATAAATAAAATTACAAATTTTCAACTAGAATTGTATAACGAAATACCTTAAAAATAAACTGTCATTCAAAATGAGTGATCGATCTATGAAACTTGGAAGTATTTCTTGTTATCCTTTATTAATATAAAAAAATTATAAATATTTGAATCGCTTAGTATCCGAAGAAATCATGAAATACTTTTACAATAATCGTAATAGTTTGCGAGTAATAATTTAAAAATCTTTTTTGCCGCGCGATTAGCTATCGTCAATGTGAAAGATAGAGACAGCCTTTTACCTTATCATGCCCTCTTAAATCAAAATCAACATATTACTCTAATATAATTACTACAATTTCAGCGAAAAGGAACCTCCACATAAAAAGAACGAGTGACCTATTTTTTTGTGTCGTAGAAGAGATGCTTTATGCACTCAACTTTACATCCACACCGACGCTCTCGGAGGCTAGCCAAAATGCCGATAACATACCTACTATGACGAGTTCGATGTTAAGGCAAATGAATAAAAGGTTGACTAAGCTTGAGTTCTTGATTTAATAAAGGGTAAAAAAAAAACCTTTTCTTCGGGTTTGGTGAGTAATTTAATTTCATTGTTGAAATTAAGTATGTATAATGTTTCTCACTCGATGAATTTTCACGAACTGACCTTCATAAAGAGCATATTGGATTACTCAAAATTTCAAATTATGAAAAGTGAATAATAAAAATATATTACGTTGAAAATCAACGACAAAAAGTTTGCATGTGGACGACGCATCGTTACACTACTATAGCCCCTCTGATGCACTCCCACTTTTGAGGGAAGGGCGTGAGATCCAGCAGCTCCGTGGGATCCATCAATTAGTGACTTACCTCGATTTTTTGCTTGAATTTCTCATCAAGTTTCTCTCTATCTTCGGTAACATGTTTCAGTTTTGCGCGCGCTGTGGCAGGCGGTATGTACCGCGCCGATAGACCGAGAATCGATTCCATTTGGAAGCAACGTGTACGAGTTGACTTCAACTCTGTACGCAAATTGTTGATCTCCGCCAATAACGTGCAATTCTCCTAAACCGAGTAATTTAAAATAACCTTCACATATTTCATTTTATAATTGGTCAACGATGTCAATAAATATGTATATAATAATGGTAATAGAAATTTTACAAGGGAATTATGAACACCTTTATTTCGCCTACATAATATTTTATTAGGTAATGGAACGGAAACAGTAATCTATATTAATATTATCAAGAGGTATGATTTCATTGTTTACATCGAATAGGTTCCGATATTACTCAACCTATTTTATAAATGCTTTCACCAACGGGAAGCTACATCATACGCGGCTAACATAGGGTATAATTAAAGCAGGTAAAGTCGCGGGAAAACTGTTAGAGAAAAGAGGTTTTGAAGACAACCTTTTTCTTGACAATAATTTTATTCTTTTATGATACTGTCAACTACTGTTTTTGCTTGTTCTATTATTTTGTCTTTTTTTCACTGTCGTTCATAAGTCATTCATTAATATATATATTTTACAACCAAAATATATTTATTATTTGTTAAAACCATTTTATTCTTCGACACTCTGAGCGCAACTATCGATGCAATTAGATAAAGTGTGCCATCTAATAAAAACAGCTAGCTAGTACAATATATGGGTTTTCTATTATCACCATGTTGTAGACCCAGAGCGGTTAAGATAAGCAGATACCGTGGATCGTGTTCGATAAATAATTGCTGAATAATCGAGTACTAACGTCCATAATCTTGCATATATCGTTTTTTGAGCCGCCCAGTGACTTGGCAAGCTGCTGCTTGAGTGCGGCCACCTGTTTCTCGAGGTGGTCACGTTGCCTATTGAATTCACGAATAGCTTCGTCCTCCGCGATACGGCTTCGAACAAAATCGATATCCTCCACGTACTTATGAAACAATGCCTATAAAAATAATATAAATTTTTATTACATGTCTAGTGGTAGGTAGGTACTTAAAAATTATCTTATGAGAAAAAATTACCTAAATTACTTACTTTGACATTAAGCTTTAATTTTGTCGGATCTTGAAAGTTTGCAGTCATGTTGTGTAAATCGATTTTTATCTTTTTCAATGTATTTTTCAGAGTCAAATTTCTGTCTGCCTCGTTCAAGTAATCTTTCTTTGCCGACGTTAATTTCTCATTTAGCTGATTGATTTTAAGTTCTGCAACGATACTAAATAGGTATAGTTCCAATTGAAGTGTTGGTATATTTTATTTGGTACTGAATATATAGTTGAAAACGATGCATTCAACAACCGTTTTACGACAATAATTGAGTTTTTATTAGAAGTCCCGTTAAGTAAGAAATTACGTCCTTCTTCTCTATGAAATAAGGTGAAAACATTAAAGCACGGAGACGTATGTTAAACTTCAATGACGAGTACGTATGCATTAAGTAAGTACATCGGTAGGTAGTAATTTTCACATCTCTCCTGTTTCAACTGAATCATAAAGAATAGACAAAATATACGCCTTGATTTTTTTTGTTAATTTATATAAATTCAATCAGTGCTATAAAACTACATAACAGACAAGTAGGTAATACATGCAATAAATAAAACTTAAAACTAATTGTCGCGTTTGCATGGGGTAATAGTGAGTGACTCTAAATAATGTAGGGGAAGGGAGGCAAGGTGGAAGGAGTGTGAAATCTTTGTAAAGACAAAAAAAATAAAGGAATAAGAAAACTGAATAGAAATAATAAATTCTCAGTTTCCCGAAGACGAATGGGAAAAGTCAGCCATAACAGATTTAGAGAGGATATGATGTCCGTTGTGTTTTGAATAAGTTAAAAGATAAAAAAAAAACTTCTGTTAGGAATATATTCCAAATTGTCCTATAGAAAATGGAATTTCTCAAGGTTTTATTTGACGAGTTTCAACATATTTTTCGTAAGTAGAATATAGTTTATAGTTGCTTAGTTATTTTTTAAGATTAACTTGAATAAAAGACTTACTTCAGGCAAGTAAATTAAGTTAGTAAATTTATTTTTGTCACTTTACGAAATTAGGCTTTCCAGTTCCATTTTCTCTCCTTTCCCCTATTATGAAGTGAGTATTAGATACTTTGTTAAGGTGAGTAATATCATACATGATATATTAGTGAGGTACTTAATTAATTTGTGCCAATTATTTTATTTTAATAGTTACCCTAACACGAGCTACATAAATGATAACAACCAATATGCCAGTGATTTTAACCTACAGAAAATAAAATGGATGTGCTGTAATTAAGTTGTGCCTATTTGTGATAGAGCAGTCAAAACGAAATAAACTAACTAAAATAATATAGACGAGGAAAAAAAATTACAACTGCTATACTATTGATAAGTAATAAATTCTAGCAGAAATGCAAAAAAAGATTTACCACGAAATGATCTCTGTTTTAAAAGGGTTTCAAGAGAAACTTCCAGTTCTAGTATCCTAAGTTTTTTCTCTTTTATATCTCGATCAAGCGGATCTATCTGTTTGGGAGTAAACACAGAGAAAATATAATATGGTTATAAGAATAGGTTCATCGGGATGTAATGACGGGTTGGTGTTTATTAGGATAAGTAAGGCAGGGTAGATATAAGAACCATCAACACAACCTTTTGGCATAACAATGAAGCGATAATGTGAACGAAAACTCAAACTAGATATCAAATTTCGCGAAGTCCCTACGATATAGGTCAACTCAATGAAGTAGCTATTTATTAGCACCTCGATGTGCTTGGCAACGTCTAGTACGTGAGATCGCGCAAGATTTCAAAACCGATCTACGTTTCCAGAGTTCCGCCGTCATGGCGCTCCAGGAGGCGAGCGAGGCCTATCTGGTCGGTCTCTTCGAGGACGCTAACCTGTGCGCCATCCACGCTAAACGTGTGACCATTATGCCCAAGGATATTCAGCTGGCGCGCAGGATTAGAGGAGAACGCGCTTAAGGGCATTTTGCTTTACCTTTCAAAATAAACATATTTAAATTTTCATTGTTTATGTCATATAGTTATTATTACAGTAAAATCAATTTATTGGACACCATTCCAAGGCAAACATAATATTAGGTAGTAAGAGGAGCTAATAAATAAAGAATTTATAACAGCTGTAACTTTTTTCGGTCGACTACAAAACATGACAATCTAGTCGGGCGTGAGTTTAAAACCAGCATGTCCAAAATAGCAAATTTAGAATGTCTTCCAGCGTTATCATTGTCACTTCTAGATGGACTAATAATATCCATTGACTATAGTTTGTGCTGGAGAACATTAAAATGCCTGTAATAGATAATGTACTATCGATTGAATACTTATATTGCTGTTAGGGCAGAAATCATTGCCTTTATACGCCACCTAATTCACTCTGATTATAAAACGAAACCGGGTTAAAAACATAGATATACCTACTTAATATGCCAGGAGTAATTTTAACGGCAGGCCAATTCTTCTAATGTTTACGTAAAATTACGTAATAATCTCAATAGAATATCAGTGACTTTAATTTCCTACCTAAAGTCCAATATTATTAGTGCACTGTCTTCTTCACACGTCAATGGTGACAGATATATAATAATATTGGAATTAAGGTAGATAGTGCAATGGTAAAATACAAGTACTAGTTAAGATTCTATTGAGATGCACTTATTACGTAATCATTAGCGGAATTTACCTGTAGGTGCATACATTACAATGGCAGTGGTTTTAAACCCGCGCTAGCATGCTAATAGAATGCTAAATCAAAGACAAGGCAAACGCCTTTACTTTCGAGTCGTACCGAGTTCATGTTTTACATTTAATAATTTCAGTTCCTCGTTTTCCATATCGTCAATCTGCACCTTTAATTCTCTTATAGTTCGTTCTTTAGGTTCGATCTATAGACAGGCAATATATTATTTGTTTCAAATTAAATTGAAATATGAAACTGGTGTGATATTTTAAGAGCACAGTTCCAGTTACTGACGTCAGCAAATGAAAACTTCCAGTCTCGCATTTAGTTCACTTCGAGATCAATTTCAAATTATAAATATTCACAATACGTTTCTGCTAAATTTAAGTCGTACAGTCAAAAAATATGTACCAAAACGTAGTCAAAATCATTGATGACCGTTTAAATGTTGATAGACATAGTAGACAAATTATTCGGATCTTCCTAAGATATTTTTTTCCAGTTATATAGACCTTATAACTGCAGCTGTCTGAATAGATAGATACCGATGAACTATAACATTGTCTATTTTCATATAATCATGGAAAATGCTGATAATATATTTTGAGAACTTTGGCTGCACACATCGATATGTACATTATTTGCTCAAATCGGTATGAATGGCTAAATGCTCATCAGAATATTTTATGTATCTTAAAATGTATGATCTATATGACACTAACTATGCTAAATATCAGTGGCAAGATTCGAACTCGCTTAAATTTGTAATGTGTAGTAACAGTATAACATATGCACATCCAGTTTACTATCAAATAGTCAATTCATAAAAAACAAAGAATGGGATATTTGTCATTTTAGATTATAAATGTAATGTATTGCGTTATGCGTTCGGCTTACATACCTGATTCTTCAGTTCGGTAATTTTGAAGTTCAACACAAACTTATATTTCTCCAATTCCTGTTTCTTCCGCTTGAGTTGGTATATTCTCTTCTCTTTATCCTGGATTGTTCCATCGCGTTCAGATATTTCCTTTTTCAAATCTGCTACATCTCTCTCCAGAGTAGATATGACTTTTTGAAATTGTATATGTTCAGCTTTAAAAAAATCGTTGGATGTAAGTATATTTAGAACAAATAAAAGCAATTCTTACATAGTAATAAACTCTTACTGCCATAATTAAAGACGTTAATTAAAAGCTGTATCTACTTATAATGTCGATTGATAAAGAAACATGTGATCATGTCTTCGAGCGATGCGACTAACAAATGTATTCCTATATCATATCAACTCTGTTTCATCAATACGTTATAACATTGAATACGTGAATTTCCAAATTTAAAATGGTGGCGAAGCTAAAATTTTAAAAACCAATTTTCCTGACATTCACTATTTATAATACCTATAGGTATATTCATAACGTCTGTAAAATAGTTATAAATTCAAATGTCTTTTGGTCTTAATAGTATTACACCTTACAATAGTACCTTTCAACTGCGAAATTTGGTGTTTGAACTCATCTATTTCCTTATTGGCGCTGATTAGTTTCTTCTTCATGAGTCCCGTCTCTCCCTTTAGCCTCACGTTAGCGTCTTTCTCCTCCTTCAGTTGTACCTCATATGCTGTCCTTATCTCTATGATCTCTCGATCAGCGTCCTCTTCAATCGATGCCTTAATTGTTTCGTGCTCCTTTGTTTCTAAATCTGCTTGTTCTTGTAACTGTGTGAGTTATTATTACAATTATGATAAATGGGGTTTGATGCTGTGTTATCAGCACCATATTATTACTATAATACCTAGGTATTAAAAAGTTATAGGTGTTTTAGATAATATTTGCATTTTGTATAGGCTTCAGTATTAAATAGGCTTGTAGATTCATAAATTTTCTATTTTAATTAATTTGATTTCTAAGATAGATCGGACATCTGAGAAGCATTTACCTAGGCTAGGTACTTCTAGGATCACTAAGACTTAGGAAGACATTACTTAGACTGGACTT